ATTTCCCTCTGTAAATAAGCCCCAAATATTTGGGGGGAACCAGTCTTCTGTTAGGATCAAGAAAAAAATAAGTAAGCAAAAAGAACCAACTAAACAGAAAGTCCAGGATGATGTGGTGAAGCTCAAATACTGACCACACTGAAATAAAACCCAAGAGTCAAAGATCCTGAGGAATGGGGAAGATTACAGCCCAGAAGCTTTCATGTTATCCTGTTTCTGTCAGATTTAACTGAGTTGGAATATGGTTGGTCATACCTTTCAAGGAACTGTTCATCTGGATTCATATTTCACAGGTTGGGCCAAAGAAACAAAGCAAGAAAAGCTTATTCATTACGCCTTTGGTATATTTCTTATCTGTGACTCTAAAATATTTGATCAGTAGTCACCCTTGAGTGGTTTTTGAATTTATGTTAAGTTTGTATCCTTCAGACAGCTGAGCTGATGTTCCCCAAAGGGGAGATTTGAATTGTTGGGGTTTTTTTTGTCCACCTGGTACAGCATTTCCCATCTGCTTCAAACAGATTTAAAAAAAAAAAAAAAAGGCCTCTCTATGAGTTGCATTCACAGCTCCGCTGACACTCAACTCTGCGGGATGTAACCTCTACTTGCCAATTGTCAAACATCTAAGGAACTTTTTTCCTAGCTGTGCTCCTGGGGTCAAGTAGGGCAAAAGAAGGGACAGATAAGAAGTAATTTCTACCAGTCCTCAAGTAACAATTTTTCTAATATACAAGCCATTAAAGCCCTTCATAGCAGCCATATTTTCATTCCTATGAAGAAATCTAGCTTACAAACGCAGACTTACCTGATGAGGATTTGGATTCCATGTGAGGAAGTTGCTGGGATCTATTAAGCAACAAAGGCACAACAAACTTGCCAAGACTAATTTTGTTGTTCCTGTGTAATTGCCTTCAGGAATACTCTTTTGTGGCCATCCACCGCAGCATCTGTGTTTGCAGTGAATATGTCTACACAGTGCTGTGGACCAGTATCTGTGCTGTATAGGTGCCAGTTGAAGTACTGGATGTGCAGTCGGCGTACCCCACTTCGCAAAAATATCAGTGAGACGTTGTCACCTCCAGCGTTCTACTGAGTCACTGCAATAACATACGTCGCTGGTGTTTCAGTATCAGCTATCACCAAAGTCAAAGGGAGTTGTTTCATTGATTTCAGGGATCAAACAGAAAGGAAAAAAAAGGAGGGGGCAAGGGAACGAGCTTGTCTGTGAGGTCCTTTCCGTCTCACTGATGTGTGACGTTTCCATCTTCAGTTTTGATTAAATTTCCCTTAATTAGCCCATTAAGCTAAAACCACCAAAGCTAATGATTGCAGTGTTGGTTAACTGATGATCTTGTTTCAATGGAATTTGAAAGACATCATATTTCTAAATTAATAGTGGCATTAAACTGGAGAAGAGAAAAAGATAAACTATTCGTTGCAGAAATGCTGGTCTCAAGAGATTTGTACTGAAACTGCATTCATCTTAGAAAAAAAATCAGATTGATAAACAACCGGAGCAGCACTGATGGTCCTAACAGCGTTTGACGTTCACGTGATTTTTCTATTTCGGGGGCATTTCTGTCATTTTTTTCATCCCTGGTGAACTTCAGGAAACTTCTCAAGTGTTCTGGTCCCAGTGCTCCTGCAGGTGAAATCAGCAAGGCTGTCTCTTAACTTGAACTGTAAATAAAAGTAAAATACAACCTATTGCATTCTTGTATGGCGACCTTAGATGGCACTCCCTTCAATGACGGAAATACTGGTTTATATCATGCCTGTCTGTTCTTAGGGGCTGAACATTTAATAATTCTCGTAAGAACAATGCTTCATTGTCTCAAGAGGCATGACATGAACAGTGCATCAAAGGATAACACCTTGGGGCATGAAGCTTAGGTTCTGCCAAGGAAATGGCCTAAAGCTACTTTCAGAAGTATTTAGTTGCCAGGTACAAAGAAGGTGCGTAGTAGTCTTTGCAGAAGTATCTGTCTCTTCTTTTATGCAACCTGAGCTAAAGTCTACAGAAGTGGAGGGAAAAGCTGACATGGAGGACCATGTCTAAGAACTGCTTATGTGTCTTTGTAGTTCATTTCCCAGCCTCAGTTTAGCACCTTAGAAACATAAGTACCTATCAAAATGTCCACGTCTCCAAGTGGCATTTAGCATGCACCCCCAGGAAACAGGCCGAAGATCAAATGCGTCCGAGACTCAGTTCCAGTGGTCCCTTCAGTGTAGCACCGAGGTTCACTGTCTGCAGGGCATTGATTTTCAGACACAGCCAACTGAAAGACGTGTAGCTGAATCCATTTCCACCTTACCGCTTCCTGAAAAAAAAAGGGCGCAACAGGGAGGGAGAAGCTTCTGCTGAGCTATGGCCTGTAGTTTACAGCCCAAGGTAGGGTCCTGGTTCTCCATAACATACCAGACTGTGATCTGTGGTGGTTCAGGACCCCTTTCACATATGGTTCAGTCATCTCTGCTGCTGCACAGTAACTTACAGGAAAAAGTAGATCAGAGCCCACTTTGCCTGTCCGACAGCTTTTGTTTAAGATTCGCATGGCACGTCTCAAACTGAACAGCTTATGTTTATGCTAGAGCTTGAAGTGTTGTGGGATGTCAGCTGTGGAGCAAACAGGGGGAGGAGGCAGGAGGATGACAGCCGATGTACTTGGAAGCCAGTTTAACATCCAAGGATTTTATGTTCCTTCCAGTTCTCCTCCTAGACATACCCACAGTGGGTTTCAGGTATAGCAGCTGAGAACTGTGAGGCTTCTGGCAACGTCAGACTGCAGTTGCACTTTGTATGGATTGGGAAGGCAAAAAATACACTTTTGTGATCTTTAGATTTGTTTGGATGGAGCTGCTACCCTTTCAGCTGATAAAGATGGGTCATTTAGCAAGGAGAATTACATCTTGCTGTTTCAAGTTTCCTTTGATGCTAAGGATACTCTTCCTTCACCATATCCACTTTCTTTGTGTCAAGCACCTGCTCTTTCCTAGCAGCTGCTCATGTCTTCAGAACCTAAAAAGTCCATTTTAGAAAAGTCCCTCCATATGTCCAATGCATATCTCCAAGGAGTGAGAAATTTCAGTATTGAAGCATCATTGTTTTACTTTACCAGAAATAAAGAAGGAGGAACATAGTAACTGTATCAACTGTTTTCTGTTGTGAACAGACTGTGTCCTGTTCTAAACCCTTCGCACCTTTCAGGGACTGCCAAGATCTTTTTCTGTTTGAAGCTTTTGGTTTGGTTGGGTCAGCTTTTCTGACTGTGTCCCTGTCTGTAGCTTAGCAAGAACACCAGTTGCAGAAGACGACGGCACATCAATCTAGATATCCGCAAAAGGCACATATATCCCTGGGGTCTGTTTTAGCTTATGCCAAACCTCACTGTCATCACTGGTGGTGAAAGGTGCGCTGTATTTGAGAACATCATGGAAGTTGGTTATCTTCGTTGACAGTCAGGTGGCTGAAACAGTCAAAACCCTCATTCAAAGCACAGGAACATGCTGTCCCAAAGTAAATGTGCACATGAGCAGAGAAGCTTCACTTGACTTTTGTTTTGTGAGGTTGGTTTGTTGGTAAAGGAGACATAGATTTTACAAACAGTAGGAGACAACACTAATGTAAGAATACTGATAGCAGACAAAAAGCTGAGAGAAAATATTTTAGAGCCGGTACTATGCATAAAGGACTAGAGTCTGTGAGAAGAAAAAAATTCTGCTGGTGTTTAGATTCTTGCTGCAGTGAAGGGACAGGATTTCTATAGCCTTTCTAAATAAATAGGACTGCTCCTCTAAAATACCTTGTTCTGTCATCAGTTTCTCGTCTAAACTGAACATCTGTAAGAATTCACATTCTGGCTAAATGCTTTTATCTAAAATATAGAGCGGGAACCGTCAGCTGTAGATCTACATTAAAGAGACCCATGAATGGCTTAACTTCTGCTGGTATAAAACATCAAGATACAACAGCAAATGAGGTTTAAATAATATTTTGTTTTCTGTTGCAGCTTGTTCTACAGCATACGATGGTTTCATGTTTTTATAGTCTTGATGTAACCTCTCAGCATTGTATCTCGCTTCTGGGCCACGGTTGGCTGCTTTTAGAAATTGTTTTCCTTCCTAAGCAGAGTATTATGATTTTATGTGGCACATATGCATCGGGAGAACATGAAGTTGCTAAGCTAAGAGAAAATCTAAATCTATGAGTGCACTAAATTAATACGTGGTCAATATACTATCAGATTTGAACTATTTGATTGTGGGTTGGTTTTGCTCTTCCTGTTGACCCTTAGTATCTCTGAGGGTGAATTTAAAGTGATCTTTCTTCTGGTAATGTAGGAGTAGCAGAACTTCCTGGCAAAAGCCAGCTGAGAGTGTGGAAGTGATTTAAGGCAAACCTGCTCCATTTCTACATGGAGATAATGAGCTCTGCTCTTCCTATGGACTACCCGGTGTCAGTTCCCCTCTTCTGTGACTGCCAGGACTGTTAGATATCCTTTGCCTCCTAGAGGGTGGATCAACACCAAATACTTCCTAAATTGATTTCAGCCTTTGATTGCCAGTTCCTTTTAGAAACTCCAAGTGGCTTCAGGAGCCCCAGCCTACTCATTTTTCTTAACACTTTAGGGTGTAAATCACTTGTTGAGAATAAAATCACTTAGGTGTCTGAATTATTTTTTTTTTTGTGCCAGAAGCCAGAGGACTTTATTTTCTGTCCTGACACCCACATACACATACTTGCACCTGTTTCAGGTTGTATGCCTCTGGAGGGAAGAGGGGCTGTATTCTTTTTTCTGTCTACCGATATTCATGTACAGCTCCCCTCCTCAGATCATCTGTGCTTGTTAGGGATGAGGATACTTTCTCTGATAATTTAATATTTTTATATGTGAAAAGAAAAGCTTTTTTCCCCCCATTCTAAAAGTGCTTTAACTGCAAAGACCTCTGAGTTTCATCTCTTTAACAGAATTTAATCCCTGTTCTTCCAATCTGCGCAGGTTTTGGTTTCAGATCATCGCTTCATGGGAAGAAGGATCTGATGCCATTATTGCTTTTGACAATGTCTCCCTTAGTCTGGACTGTTATTTAACAAGTAAGTTTTCCTTTTATCTGCAAGTGATTTGTCTTTTATTTGCCATGTAATTGAAATTTGGAAAGGGATTGAAACTGTGGGGAAGGGATTGGGTGTTGTTATCTTCAAGAGACTCTTGAAATGTAAAGGTATGTTTCAGAAATGACTGTGCTTAGATGAAGGAGACCGTTCAGATGCATACCTTATTAGTGGAGCTGACCAGCGAATGGCTTCCGAGTTTGGCAGTAAATGGGTAGTAAGACATATGGTGTGGGAGAGTCAGCTTCCAGCTGAGACAGTAGCATCACCTATCCACCCAGGCTGATGCAGAAGCCAATCTGTGATTATAGAGTTCCACACGACCTGGTTTGCTGAAAGACAGGCATCGTGTGATTGACACTAACTTTGCAATAACATTGGGCACAATACTCCAGTTAAATTAGAACAAGGTTATTTTATTTGGACTGATATGCATTTAAGCCTGAATGAGAAACTAGGATCTTCGCTCTCTCCTACTCTTGGGAAAAATTTGGATTCTGATCCAGACTTTGTGATTGACTGGCCTCTAGAATATGCCCAGTCTACACCTCTGCTGCCAGATTTCACCCCATTTAGATTTTTATTGAACATTTGTGTCTGGCTCATCTTTCACAAGCTCATGCATAGTGAATTGCTTAATTTGTAAATGTGTTCAATGATCTGTCACTCTATACCTCAGACCAACAACTTACATGAGGACTGAAGGATTGCTCCTCTGAACGCATGAAACTTCTACCTTGGGTTGAGCAGTAGAACTTAAGTGTGTTCTTTCATCTCCTAGGCTTGAAGCTACAACCTCTGTAGCCCTGTTCAGATTGAAAATCTCTAAGCCACTTCCTCATCCAACAGCAGTCAGAAGGTTTCATCTGCTTTGTGTTATGTTAATTTGCACTGGCTGGGGCTGTGAGTCTTTCTATAGAAAGACTGTGATACCCCTTGGTTTCTGTGCATAAGTACAATGTACCTCAGGTTCCAGTATTCTAAAGAGATCTTAAAATTAGGCTGTAATTAAAAAAGATTACATATACTTTTACTGGCTAAAAGAGAAACTTTCTAACAGTTGCTAAAGATTGTGTTCTGTATTTCTGCTTCGTGTCTTCGTTCACTTGCTGTTTTGCCCACCACTCATTCCTGTTTTGTTTTTTTTTTTTGTCACAGTTCCCATAACAGCAATGGAAAGTCAATCTGTCCTTTCCTTTTAATAGTGTTATATCCTGTGACTGCAGGCTCTTATTGTCAGCAGAGAAGCCTCCAGCCCTTAATTTAGCTTCGGTTTTGGATTACATACTGACTCAGCCACCCTCAGTGATAAACCAGTCTGTGACTTCTTGTTTTCTAGTCAGTGGAGAGAAGACACCTCGAGGTACCACACCAGACTCAAGCAATTTGCTCACCAGTAGAGGTGGCCAGAAGAAGTTTGGATGGGAACAAAAGCTTCTGGGAAATCTCCAACTCAACACTGCCCCCATTTCTGGTCCAGCAGGTAATTGTCTGGTCTGAGAAGCGTTTTCAGACAGCAGAGATTTCCAACTAGTACAGATTTCAGTTAGATGTGGCTAAATGCAATATGATTCCTTCTTTTTCTTTACCAAAGCCTTTGTTCAGAGCTTTTCCCAAGTCCCTTACAAACAAAACAAAACAAAACAAGCTCCAGAAAGCAATTTCCTTTAGCTGTTAACTGTAACTTGGATTTCAATTGCAAGCTGGTGAAAGAAAGAACCAGAGGGAGCCTCTTCTTGAAGTAAAAAGTGCTTTTAAACTGTAAGACAGGTTTGTTTGGTGTCATGGTCATTTAAAAATAGGCAGGAATCAAAGCGAAGTGTCTAAATTGACTGAGTCCAGCATGTGGTAACCTGAACACCCATCTCTAGTTAATATAGGCTTGGTTTGAAATAACATAGCTTCACTTTTTCAGTAATGTTTTCATTGCCCATTTGAAAGAGTACAGCATTGGACTTCGTTTTAAAAACATGATTTTTAGTTAGTTAGAAATGTCAGTCTTGTATGTCAATGTTATTTTGTACTCCCCTGTCCCCCAGCTCCCCTTTCCAGCTTAATTGTAGTGGCATGGGCCAAATAGATGCAAGATTTCCATTCCCTCCCCCTCACATCAGTGTCTCCCAAATGTTTGTCTTTTCCCTCTCCCAGGCTTGCCCACACATTCACAATATCTGTTTTGGGCTCTACACGTGCATTTCTATTCCAATCTGCTTCCTTCCCTCCTCCGTGCCAGTTCCTCTTCCTGATTTGATTCAGGTGGCCGCAGTCTCCAGCCTACGTGGGAGAGCAGGGCTGACCATGGCAATGGGGGGTGACTGCAGGAGAGACAGGCGCTTGCTATAACTACCAGCCTCAGCACTGTGTACAGCTGTTTCTCCTCGCTTAGGGCTAGCTAGTTACTTGCCAATTTGAAATACAACCCCTCCTAAGGTAGAGAACAGGGGGGTGGTTGGTATACGCCTCCTTTACTTTGTCACTAAGCCTAGGGATTTGTTCCTGCTGCCTCCTTCTCTCCTACTCCTCCGTCTTAGAAAGAATTCTCCGAGTCTGTTCTATTCTAGGTTATGTTTCACTTTGCTACCTGCAGCGTACTGTTGAAATACATGAAGTAGTGGTGTTAGCTCTGATACCAACAGCAGTCTGGTCAGTGCGGTCAAAAGCTCCACACAGTCTTCAAAGCCTGCCTGAAAAGCTGGATGTATTAGCCCACTCTGTGCTGCCACAGCAGGGCAACTGCTGAACTCTCTTGTGGAGCAAGCTCTGGCAGTGGAGGCTGATGATACAGTCTGCAGTGTAGGCCAAGAGTTGCCATCAAGTGGAGTTTGTTGATATTTTATGTACTGAGCATCATACAGCAAGAAAAGTGCAGGAGCACTGACAGGAGTCTCAGGAGAATGAGAGAGAGGGAATGAGCCCATATGAGAGGATGCTGGGCTGGGTGGACCTGTGCTTTAGCTATAAAGCTTGTGTCTAGCTCTGTTACAGATGTGGTGTGTGAATTTGGGCTGGTCACAAAGGTACAATTTCCAAAAAGACCCTTACGTCCTCTTTGCAGATCCTTTGAAGTGTTGCCTTCAATATCTGTATCTCCGTTGCCTGCCTGTAAGGAGGTGCCTAAAAGGTGGAGCCACCTTTTAAGTGTTTTCAGTATTGCTCTTAGGTCAGTGATCTTGTGGTAGGATCTGTACGCAGGTGTAGATTATGGACTTCTGGCTGAATTTCCATAGTAATGTCAATGCTTAGGTGGTGGTGTAGTTCCTTAAGGCAGCTGTACATTTCCTTCCAGGGTACCTACTGTTTTAGTAACACAAAAGCTATTAGATATCAGGTTCAGGTTGGAGAATGGCCTGAAATTTGGATGCAAAGTTAATGTAAAGTGGGTGTGTGGGTGTTACGCGAGAAATCTTGTGGCTGTAGGTTTATTCAAGAATTTTGTTACTTCCTGCTTCTCACTAGACCTGAAATGGCGGAACATCTTCTAGCCCTTCTGCTCCCTGTCCTATCTGAGGAATGTAATTTAAAAAAATGCTTGGATAGTAGAAATAATGGGAGTCAGATTGCACAGGAGTAGAAGAGAAGGTCACTGAGGTACCTTGAGCAATTCAAATAATTTGTTATGACCTTGGGGTGAAAATTCAAGGCAATTCCTGTGGTACCTAAGCCAGCTTGCCTCATTTCTGGGCTTGATCCTTGGTCCTGTTCATGTTCTGTCTAAAATTGTCTCCAGCCCTTGAGGTTTGAAATCGTTCCTACAGCAATTTGCTCCCCTTTGCGCCCTCAGCATAGGCAGGGCAGAAATCAGAGAAGCTAAGTTGCGTCTTCTTGTCGCGGGAAGTCATTGCATTTCTGAGGGTCTCCACAGCACCAAATCATCTTTTTCCTTTGTGTTGCTGACTCCCTGCTCTCAGTAAACACTGCAGATGCTTGTTTGGTCCCTGGGCTATGCATTTTACCCAGCTTTAATCTTGTTTCTTTCTGCATCCTGTAATGCATTTAAGAAACCTCAGGCTGAGTCTGTCAAGGCCTTTACTTTGATGGCCACGTATTTACTGTTGTGCGAGTGAACCAACAGCATCAGTGCCACCCTGAAGTCCCAAAGACTGCATTGACCAATATGAGCTCAGCCAAAAGTAATTACAGCTAATGTGATCTTTGGCTTGTATGATGGATCACAGGCTATAATATTTCCTTCTTAAGACATCATATTAAAACAAAGAACTGTGTTCCTATAGCTGAGGAGACAACAGGATAATAAAATGCCCTCCCCAAGTCCCCAAGCCAGCTCAGCCTACGCAGCAGGAAGTACAATCTGAAAGACAGGTACCACTTTGTTTACCATGACTGTAAATCCAAAGCAGCCCTATTGCTTTCAAGGGTGTGGGCCTGGATTTGCTCCTTCGCAACTGAGAACAACCTCTTACATGCACCTGCTGGTTTTGCCTGTGCTTGGAAATCCATTTTCAGCGGAAGCGATAGTCATTACCACCAACCTCCCTGTCCTCTCTGTTCTTAGACCCTGTACCCAGTGAATTACTTCTTCAGCCTTGCCATTGCTTATCGTGACTTGGCATGCCTCCAGGATAGTTCCAGAAGGTTCTAAATACATAACGCAGCCACGCTGTGAAAGATCCTAAGGCTTCCAGAAATCTCTTAACCGCTGTCATGTGTCACACGTGGGATGATGAATGCCCTGTGTAGAGAATAAGACCCAAAATTGCTACAACTACTGTGGTGATGTTGCTCTCTCAAGTTCCTTGATGATGACCAGGACCAACACCGGAAGATTCCTGTAGGTTTCAAGTCATGCAGTTACTTGCAGTGCAAGGTGGCCATTAGATAGATGATCACCAAGCAATGCAAATGCTTTCCTTTTCAGTTAATTAATGACATGTTATTTGCTGACGTGCCAGCTTCTTGCTGAAAGGTTGCAGGTGATTCCAAAAGAAGCCTGCAAAAAAGTTGTACGAAAACCTGCATATACCAGAAGATTGAACCAACTTCAGTGCAACTAGGATTTTTGATTGAAATGGTTAAATCTGTGCACTGATTATTTTGACGTAAACCAAGCTTCTTTGGCTTTGTTTTTAAATTGATTAGGTATTAGTTTAAGTAAAACTGAAAGCTGCTCAAACCATAGCACTTCTCTACAGGGAGTTTAACTACCAATTAAAAAGCCAATTTATATCAAACCAATGCAATTTCCTTTTATAGACAAGGCCAGAATATGGGAAATTCAGGCATATAAAGATACAGTGAGCAATAATGAGGAACTCTAGGTAAACAAATTGCTATCATGGAAACTGGAGGAGACAAAATAGGATTCTCAGTAGGCGAAAGGAGATAACAAGACACAGAGCAATCAAGCTTTAATTAAAGATTTCTGGTGCTTCTGAATAGTCTGTAAATACCACGAGGATAGCCTCTCTTTTGATGCTTCAGCTTCTCATCTGTCCCACTGACAACTTACTCATGTCAGGGCACACAGTACAAAAATGGTGTGTTGCGAAATGTACAAAAAGATTAACCTTTTTTCCCCTCAAATCTTGCATTGTTTTGTCCCCTCTGATCTGCATATCCACCAGCCATCATGTGACCATGGTTTCTTGCATGGAAACTGTCATCAAATCATTTTCTCATCCAGACTGGATTACTGTTTTCCTTCAGCTCCAGTCTCTTTCTCACAACACTTAGTGGTTGCACGGATTTTGTCTTTTGCATCAGGGAGAGTCCTCTTACAAGTACTTACATGGCTGTTTCTCGGAAGAACTCTGAGTCACATTAGTTAATCAGATGAAGGAGCTGAAAGGAACAGCAGAGCAAGTATTAAGTAGAAGAAAATTACATTTGGTTGCTCTTTGTGTGCAATTATACTAACTGAACTGTTGGCATAATGCAATAAAGGTATCTGCAGAATTGTATTTTTGTATTAAGCATCAATTAACACAGTGAGTAACAGCTCAGTGCCCTCCCCCCAACAAAAGTAGCATCCTCAACAGTGGTAGAAAGTGTTCAGAGATGGATGGTGGGATCTCAGATTAGGTAGGCATTAATTTCTTTATTGCAGTGTTTACACTTGCTTTCTCTGTAGGATTAAAAATAACAAAGGTGCAATACTGAAAATCAACATACAACCAGATCCCAACATAGCAAATTTGAATTGGTCTAAAGGCTCTCCAGAGTTAATCATACGATTGAAATGAACAGGGCAGTTCACACATGTTAGACCTAAATTTTAAAGCTGCCCACTCTTAAGAATAGCAGTTTAAACTGTGCAGAAACTGCTATAAATCTCAGGAAAGGTTTTGAAATAATCTTGCCACCTCCACCCAACTTGGTCTTTGTTATCCAACATGCATTTCTACTATCCTTTGAAATTGTGAACAAACAAATTCCAAAAAGTTAGCATCATGTCTCACTTAATACCCTTTATGGAAGACTCCTGCTATCTCTTTAAGTGAAACATAAAAGAGAAAAGAAATTTGT